TATGCAATTCCACAAAATTATAAAAATTACACATTTTATTTTTTAGAAGTAGAAACTGAGCAGTAAAGGAAAAATACTTATAACTATTGTCTGCCAGGCACATGATCTCATGTAATATTCACAATACTTCTACTATCACTATACCCAGTTTTAAAAAACAGATGAGGAAACAGACCTGATTAACTTGACAAACGTCAAGTAAGTAGCAGAGCCAGAGTTTGAGCTCCTATCTCTCTGATGCCAAAAGCACATGCTGCCTAAACTATTCCAAACTGCCTCTTGTGCAGGGTAAGATTCATGCAGAAAACTTTTAAAGCCTTAGCCATAATGCTTTAAGCCATGCAAAGAACTTAGCTTCAGCAAACATCTTCAAGTGCTGTTTGGTCTGAAAGATGCAGATATTTAATTAAACATTAGATTATGCTTTTATATTTTTTAATATAACATGGAAATTACTCTTAAAAACTGCTAAGTAAAACTATATCTTTTTAATTATATTTTTAATTGAAGCTGAAGTTTAAATTCTCTTTAATTTGCTCACCCAGAGGGTGTGATTTAAGAATTTGGAGTTCACCAAGATTTTCTCTTTGTCCTCCAACATAGCCTTGGCTTGATAATAAGCACACAGTGTTTGGACGAGTGACTAAAGGAATGGAAGTTGTACAGAGGATCTCCAACGTCAAAGTCAATCCCAAAACAGATAAGCCCTATGAGGATGTCAGCATCATAAATATTACTGTTAAGTAAAATAAGATTTGTCTCATTGTCTTTGTAAATAAAAACACACATATTAAACACAGGATTATTTTACATAAGGAAGCTCTTAAGATTTATTTTTATAGTTTTCATTAAAGGCCATTTTTTTAAAGCTCTGCTTTTGAGTTTTCTTGCAGTATTTGTCATCCTGAGGTGATAAACTGAAATGGACCAAAACTCAGGCAAATAGCACTCCTTATACATAATTTCTCATGAGACTTAAAACCATATTAAACAATGAGAATGGTATGCATTTGTTCCTTAGCTTTTTAAAAATATGCCAGATAGTCTGCCCTCAAATGTTTCTTTAGATCCAATAAGAAAGGGTCAGGATGTGACAGTGATACACCATTTCCTTTTACAAGGTTTGTGTTACATGCCAAATAGTTTTGTCCTTTGATCACTGTTAAGTAGTAAGTAGTGGTAAGTAAAACTTCAATAAATAAATAGGAAGTGCCTTTGGTCAAAAGTGTTTTAATTCCTTAATAATTAGGAAATATTCTTCAAATATAAAAATCAGAATAAATGGAACACCTGAGTCCTTGGTTTTATATACTGATTCATTTACTATTTTCACATCATTTTTCTAATGTAGCTAAACAGTTTTTGTCTTCAGTTTATATAGTATAATCTTTTCTTACCTTACTAAATATACCATCAAGAAAGTATATATTGAGTAAAAATGTTAATATCTAACAATGAAGAGATTAGTAGAAATTGGAGCAATAAAACAATGTGAGTCCAAGTCTTATGAGTCCAATTCATTTATTCTTCATTTACCATCATAAATTACTTCAGAATCACTGCTTCTACTTTCCAGACAGACTCTTAAGAATTTATAAGAGGAACATGTTCAACAGACGTGTTTAGGGAATTCACATTCTTATGCTTTATATCTAAGCTTACATTTTTCCTTCTACTGATCGGCAGGATTATTTCCTTTACCTATTTTTGTACCATAAACTGTGATGGAAGAACATGCCAAACTGTGCTAACTTTAAATTAATATTGTGTCCTCCTTTTAAAAAGAACTAAATTATGGACAGAAAATGACTCTTCACTATGACATTTACCTTTTCTCCCTAATTTTAGGTGTTCAGACTTACCTACCTATCAATTCATTCGTAAAAGCTTAATCCTAAATTTTTGGTAGTACTGCCACCAAGTGGTGGTAGTGATGCCTCATTCTTCCCAAAATAAAATTATTTTGCTTTGAGTGAATATCATATTTGATTAATGAATTTTTCCATTCCATGTCACAAATTTAACATAATCAGTAGACCTAAAAACCTACACTGCCAGATGTCTTTTTTTAAAGCATGCTTTAAATTATTAGCAAGATACCATCTGATACTTATTAGTCCTTTTCATTCATTATTCTTTTAGGGAAAAGTACAGCTATCTTCTTCCTTATTACCACTTTGCAAATTGAGAAGTATCTCAGTATCACATAAGTGTTTTAGGGGCTTCCCTGGTGGTACAGTGGTTGAGAGTCCGCCTGTCGATGCAGGGGACACGGGTTCGTGCCCCGGTCTGGGAAGATCCCACATGCCGCGGAGCGGCTGGGCCCCTGAGCCATGGCCGCTGAGCCTGCGCGTCCGGAGCCTGTGCTCCGCAACGGGAGAGGCCACAACAGTGAGAGGCCCGCGTACCGCAAAAAAAAAAAAAAAAAAAAGTGTTTTAGCAACATTAGCTCATAGGATATAGCTAAGTTTTCCAAGCCCTTTTCTAAAAACAGTTACTTAAAATGCTATGTTCTTGTGTGAAACAAGGTTAAATTTAAAATTTAAAAAGCAATAATTTCACTTTGTTCAATGCAAAACTTTAGCTCTCCTTTAAAAACACTACAGTTATAATACTTACTTAAATTTGACAAATTGCAAATACGGAATGACAGAATGGTATTTCTAAATTTTTAGTAAAGTATATCTCAAATCTGTCATACAAGTCAATCCCTATCCCATTTTGTTTTCTCTTAACCACAGCACAAATATAACTTTAATTGGTTACTAGCAATACTACTAAATAGATGGTTCAAGAAACAGAATTTTTAGAATAATAATAGGACTTCTTTAAAATGATTTTAACATTTTATTGCTGTCTATACTGATCATATGTGTAATGCAAATAACGGCTTCTAGTAATTATAAAGCATTCCAGAATTACAGACCAAGACTATACACTTGAAAAACCTGCTTTACATAAACCATACAATAATATTTAGGCTTGATACAGAAATTCAGTGCCAGGAGGCAAATCCAAATAGACTGTATTTAAAACCTCTCTGAAGTTTGACATTTACCAGAGGGAACTAGCAAGCACAATCTTAACTAATAATTAGTGAAAGAATACAACTACAAATAGTAATAAGAGCCTGAGAAATGTATTTTTTTAAAAAATAGTAACAAACAGTACTATCACGTATGTTATAATCAAGTCTAAACACAATTTTTAAATTGTGTTTTAGAAATATGCTAGGATGGGCTTCCCTGGTGGTGCAGTGGTTGAGAGTCCGCCTGCCAATGCAGGGGACACGGGTTCGTGCCCCCGTCCGGGAAGATCCCACATGCTGCGGAGCGGCTGGGCCTGTGAGCCATGGCCACTGAGCCTGTGCATCCGAAGCCTGTGCTCTGCAACGGGAGAGGCCACAACAGTGAGAGGCCCGTGTACTGCCAAAAAAAAAAGAAAAGAAAAAAATATGCTAGGAATGTGAATTTAAAAGTTAAGCAAAATTGGTAAAATAAACTTAATTTACAAGGAAAATGCAAGTTTACATGTTAGTGTTAGACTTTTTTTCCCCAATTACCTAGTAGAGAAAATAGTTCAAGGGCTCACAGACAAATGTAACACCTTTTTTATTTTTCAGTTATTGCAATCAGTCAAATGTTAATTTAATTCAGAAGTATTAACTTATATGCACAAACTACACTTGTAACAGCATGACCTTTTACTTGAAAAATAAAGGATGTAATATTACTTATTTACACACGGCTCATAATACTGACAGACTTTTTTTTTAATGCTTTGTTTTCTAAAAGTTTTGTTGTTTTTAAACAAAAGTACATTTGAAGAGACTGAACCAAAACAGTGCCACCCAGGAGTCACATCTTATGATCAGACATCAATGTCCTCATAGCATTTCAAATAATAAGATTTAGGATTTAACCTCATCCTAAAGTATAAAGAGCATTTAAAAAGAAAAACAAAAACCATAAAATTCAATCTAGGTACGTTTAAATATAAATCGTACTGCCATAATAAGGGAGTTTCCTTAAAAAATGAAAAACAGTAAAGAGCACAAACTTTTTAAACTTCTACGCAACACTGCATGATAACTGTGCTGTAAACGTTTTGAACATTTCTTTTCCTTAGACATGTTGTTTCTCAAACAACTTTTCAAGGCCTTGTCATGAAACACCTTGATCACATTTATTGTTAACATAAATACACTTATTTTGGGAAAACATTTTAAAGTAATTGTAATAAGCATTTTCCACTGCATAAATAACTTCTCTGTGGTAGAGGTAGTTTTCTACTTATATCTCTACCTTTTATGTAAAACCAACCCTGGTTTTTGTGTGTAACTTACTACATTTTACCTGTAGTCATTCTCACTGAAGATGCAATATTATTTTTAAAAGACACAATGCTAAGTACTTTAAATATACTGAAAAACAGAAGGACGAATTTAGAGCTCTGACCTGGGAAATAATACATTCAGGTTCAGCCCTGCAAATGGATCTTTCATAAGTGAAGATCAACTAGAATATAACTGACTTTCACAATTGTATTATTAATTGTTCTTCAGTGTAGTACTAATCGAACATCAGGCCTAGTTAGATTACATTTCATTCTGACTCACTGGGTTTTATACAAAAGGCTTTAGGAGAGCTTTAATAAAACACTATAAAATATTAATTTTCTATAGCTTATAGTTCTTAGCATTAAAGGTGTTCTGTTATACTGAACGTTAAAGTAATCCTATTACTCAAAGATGCAGTTTGAATTGTATTTCATTAAGTCACTGCCAGTTTTGCTGCTAAATACTGCCAAAATCCAGTGAAAAGCCAATTTGAAGAAGCCATGCTTCACTTGCTTCATACAGAGGTTCCATTAGGCATTCAGTTGGCTATCCTTTTTCCTTTGAAAGAATAAACTTTCACCTACTCTTTGTGACTACTTCTTTCCCAATATATGGGTCACATATAATCTGAAAAACTATTGTATGTTGAAAAAAAATGTACACCCAGTAAGTCCCTATTTAATCCAAATTAATCTGCTCCATCAGATATTTAAATTTTACTACAGAGTTTTTTTTAAAGCGATATTGTACTGAATTCCCAAACTAAAATTCCTTTTATATATACATCGTAACTTAACTACCTTTGAGATGTATAATTTCTTACATCATATTACGTGCAAAATAACTCTTAACCACAAAACTTTAAACAACTGCTGCATTTAAAATCAGGCAACATCCAATACTCCAGCAGCCACAAGTTGCCGTGAGAGCCAGTCCAACCCTTCATACAGTCCCATACCACTTCGAGCATCACAGCCCTGAATATACCAGCTTCGGCCACAGCACAATTTATGGAGACTAAGAAGTTCAGTGATTTCTTCTACTGACAGAGCTCCAGCAACATCCTGAAAGATATATACACATCAGAATTTTAATCAGTCCATCAAAATTATATTTGTAATTACTGTTATTTATTTACAGTTCTGCTGGTACCATTCCAACAGAAGCCAACACTAAAGTTAAAACCTAAATTCAACTTTCAGTAATTATTTTGAGGTTAATGAGAAAAAATTTGAGTTTTGGTTATAATACAGATAGTCTGTTAGAAGTCTTGCAATGAAATCAATAAAGGCTGTGCCCCCTGAATGAAAAAACTGCCAAGGTCATTATAAGGCATCAATTAAAAAAAATTAATACATGTACATTTTAAAGAAATGGCTTTTACATAGGGTTTATATAGTAAAGAGTTTATTAATTAAACTCTCCACGGAATTCCCTGGTGGTCCAGTGGTTAGGACTCCACACTCTCGCTCCCAGGGGCCCGGGTTGAATCCCTTAGTCAGGACACTAAGATCCTGGCGCAGGACACTAAGACGTGGTGCAGCCAAAAAAAAAAAAAAACCTCTCCAAATACCTCTGAATACCCCTTCTTCCCAGAAACAACTATCAGCAAAACAAAAAACAAACAAAAAAACTCTCCAAATACCCCTTCTTCCCAGAAGCAATCATCAGTAACAATTTCTTTCATATTTTTCAGAAAACTTCCACGCACACTCACGTGAATAAACAGGAACACACTCTCTTTTTTTGTTTTTTACTTAACACATATCTTGAAAGTAAAGATATCTTTCCATTATCAGGACAAGCAGATTTTCCATATTATTTTTAACATCTGTATTGCATTCCACTGTAGGTGCAACATAATTTTCTTAACCAGTCCTATACTGAATATTTAGATTGAAGATGTGTGCTTATGTGCCATTACATATGCATACACATTCATATAAACATGTATTTTTACATACATACATTTACAAAATTATCTCTAAGATAACCTTAGGATATCTGTCTGCAGAATACATTACTAGAGATAGAATTATAGGGTAAAAGGGTATATGCACCTAAAACTTTGACAAAGTACTGCCATATTGCCCTCCAAGAAAATGTCTCCTTTTAATAACCACACCAGCAGTGTATGCAGGTCTAAGAATTATCAAACATTTTCATCTTTAACAATATGATAGGTGGAAAATGGTATTTCACTCTGTCTTATTTGCATATCTTTAATTATAAATAAAGTGAAGTATATCAGCTCTTAATGGTTTGCTTTTTTATTTTTTTATTATTATTTTTTAACATCTTTATTGGGGTATAGTTGCTTTACAATGGTGTGTTAGTTTCTGCTTTATAACAGAGTGAGTCAGTTATACATATATATATGTTCCCATATCTCTTCCCTCTTTGTCTCCCTCCCTCCCACCCTCCCTATCCCACCCCTCCAGACAGCCACAAAGAACCGAGCCGGTTTCCCTGTGCCATGCGGCTCTTCCTTCTTATGACATCTAAGCCCCCCTATGGCACTAAAGAAAAGTATTCTCATCCTCCCAGAAGCTTAGTCCCAAAATCTAAGAATCTTCAGCTACTCCCCGTCCTTCATCCTCTCCGTTCGGTCACCAAATTCTAACTATTCTATGTCCATAAAGTTTCTTCAGTCTGCTTCTACCCTTCCATTCCTTTAATTCAGGATCTTGTTAACTGTCACTTGAATTACTGCAGCAATTTACTGCATCTGCCTGTCTCTACTCCCTTGCCGCTGATAAATTCTACATCCTACCCCCAAAATTACAATCCTAAAACACTAATATGATCTTATCACCAACTTTTAATGGTTCTCCTTTACTCATAGAATATAACCTAAATTTCTCAGCCTGGCCCTGTCAGGCCTTTATCACACAACCTCCTCTGTTACTCTAGAATTTCTTCATTCTCTACCTACCCCTCACATACAGATCTCCTCGATGCTCCCTAAAAATACTTTTTCCTGACTGCAGTGTTCTTTCCTTCACAAATTAACTCAAAGTCTTATCCATAATTTCAACTCTTATAGTTTCAATTCAAATCCTACTTTTTACAAATCTTACAAAATACCACCTTTAGAACTACTCTCCAATTTTCCTTAACACTGTTAATATTACTGAAGTCACTTAGCAATTTTCTTTGTATTAAAAATATACACTTAACATGCTTACCTAAATACATAGGAGTTTCTAGTGAGCATCAACTACTTTATTTCCTTCTGTATACTCCAAGGTACCAAGTACAGCACCTTCCATATAGATTGTACTCAAAATACAGAGCAGAAATTTTATATCTACTGAATTATTTCCCTTGAAATCTTAACAGCTACTTATAATGTAGAATGCTAAAATAAATATTCTGAAATAAAAATGTGTTACCTGTTTGTTAGCAAAAATCAGTAGCAAAGCATCTCGGAGTTCTTTTTCTGTTAACAACTTTGCAAGTTCACTGTGTGCTTCACTAACTCTGTCTCTATGACTGCTATCAACAACAAATACAACAGCTACCAAAAAAAGAAAAATATTCATTTAGTCACTTGTTAAATTTCAGTAAATGGACTACATATTTTAATGTTCTCATTAATATATTATGGTTAGTCTACCATCATTATTTTCACAGAAAGGCTGCTTATTACAGGAACACCTAGCAATAATTAATGATATAATCTCAAACAGTTCGCCTAACTTTTCAGCTGTTGTTTCCCCATCTGTAACAGGATTTACAATGCTTGCCTACCAAACACAGATTGTTGTGCGTATCATTTAATATTTTTTCTCTTGATGAATGAAAATGTAGCTCTTATGATCTACCTACTGATGTTATTTCTTTGATTACTACTTGCTTTACCAAAAGATAGTGTTTTAAAAATAAATAAATCACCATCTTTATCTCTCCCAAGTATTCTCTCTAGGTGCCCGGCACAGCACTTTCCACAGGCAGTACTCAAAATACACAGCAGAAACTTCATAAATATCTACTGAATTAATTCTCTTTTGAAATCTTTCCAGCTACCTTATGGTAGCTAAACATCCCAGACTTTCAACCATTCCTCATGTTCAGAATTCCATTTTGTCCCCTAAATCACTGTCTCATACTAAACTTAATATCAAGAATCCCAAAGTAAAAATTATCTAGTCTTTCTTCTAGGTGGAAAATAGGATGACATATGGAACAGGTAGCATGAACATAATAAGCTTTATGTTGGGGTACAAGAGGCAAAGTGTAGAATGGGGCCCAACTATGAATAAATGCTAAGTGGAATATATGTGATATAACACAGTTTGGTCAAAAGCAAACCACTGTAGTTTCTTCGGCAGATAAAAACTAATTGTGAATAGAAATGAAGGAGTGGAGCTATTGAGAGATTATAATGGGATAACTGTTGAGTTGAATTTAATTGAATAGAGCAAGAGAACTATATACCACAAATTCAACCCTATAACACAATACTGCCAGTGATCATGCTCATATGAACACTAATAATATACTTTAACTGTTAAGAGCAGCAAGGGGAAAGTACCCTTAATTACCTACATATATAAGATAAATTTGGTCTTTATGCTAAATTATGGTTTTTCATGAAATAAACCAGAGTACATAACCCAGTCTATCCACCTTAATTTTCTTAATAATGTGGAGCTTGCTACCAATATTTAAAGGTATAGTCACGTTTTTAATCAATGCTAAAATATCAGTTTTATTAGCTAAATCAATGAATTGAAAACTGAACTGGCATCCTAAAAATTTGAAAAATTAAGATGTAATTTTTACACTCTTACCTTGGGTATTGAGGTAATAATGTTTCCACAATGGTCTTAATTTATGTTTTCCACCTACATCCCAAATGGTGAACTTTAGATTTTTATATTCTACAGTTTCCACATTAAAACCTGTTTTTAAAAAAACTTACTTTAATACTGAACTTACATTTACACACCAAACACAGGCAACCCTGTTTATAACTGTGACTTACAAATTATCTGCATACAGCACTATCCACTGCTCCGCAACCAACTCCACTCATGATAAACATGCGTGGGGAAATGTATACCTTTAACCAGGGTTAGCCCTCTAATCCACCAGAGTCCTTAAGACCTTCACACCCAAGTACCAGATCTGTATCACTACCCTAATCCTCAGCAGGGTTATCAATCCTTTATTCCTTCCAACTGTCCCACCAATATTCTGTTCCTTCTTGCTATCCTCCCCATCCACATTTCAATCCCACAGCCACTGAATCTTGCATTTTTTCTCTGAAATGCTGGTGTCTTAGAGCCAATCTCCAAACCAGACTGACATAAAATAAGTCCCAAAGAACTCAGCTGTAAGCTAGGGTTTGTCTGTAAAATGTCCATTAAGGTAAAAGCAATACTCATACTTACCAATTGTTGGAATAGGCTGCATGAACTCATCCTGTTTTAATTTAAACAAAATAGTAGTTTTTCCAGCACCATCTAATCCTAACGTAACAACTCGAATTTCCATTTTGGGTCCAATGTGAACTCTATTGTCCTATAATTTTTTAAAAAATTAATCTTTTTATTTTGATATGGAGTTAAAAGTATTAGTACTTATACTTTTATTTATAAAATACCTTTGTTAATTACTGTGTCTCCTACTCATTCCTTAATCCATTAAAATCAAAGTTATAGTCCCCTATTAAAATACCCTTATTCTGATCTTTAGAAAGAGGAAATCCTCATTGCTTTGCTAAATCTTAGCTTAGTAAACTTACTACTTACTTTGTTTTTATATAAGTTAAAAAAAATACACATACCCACTTATTTTTCCCAGATTTTCTAACTCAACTGAATCTTCTTTAAATAAGATTTTTCATTCTGTGTTAAATATATTAATTAAAAATGAAGTGATACTTCCCATAAATATCCACTGTTAACAATTTCACATATATCCCTCAAGATATCTTCCTGTGCAGACATTGGTTGACATACACAAAGCAGATATACTTAAAAAAAAAATACACACTGCAACTACTTTTTGCACTCAATAGTACATTATGGAATCCTTTCATTTCAAAACATATAGACCTACCTTTTTCTTTTAATTGCTTTATTATATTCCATGTACCACAATTTAACCAATCACCAACTGAGAGATATTAGGTCATCTCTGATTTTTTGATATTACAAATAATGCTGCAATGAACATACTTGTATATATTGCTAGCTGCATGACCTCTCTGCCTGACTTCTTCCATCTGTAAAATGGGGATTAAAAATTGTACCAAATTTACATAGGATTTTTGCAAGGATTAGTTTTTTAAAAGACATATAATCTGAACTAATGGAGTTAGAGGAGGAAAAAGAAAAAAGAAGGAAGAAAAGTGAAAAGACCCTAAGAGACATATGGGAATGGGAGTCCCAGAAGGAGGATACAGAAATAAAGGGGCAAAGAGATCTTACTTGAAGATACAATGGCTGAAAACTTCCCAATCTGAGGAAAGAAATGGACATAAAAATTCTAGAAGCTCAATTCCAACTAAGATAAGTCAAAAGAGACCCACAGTGAGACACATTATAATCCAATTGTCAAAAGTCAAAAACAGGATAATCTTGAAAGCAGCAAGAGAAAAGTGACTCATCACATAAATTTGATTATTAACAAATTTCTCAGCAGAAACACTGCAGGCCAGAAAGAGTGGGATAATACATTCAAAGTGCTGAAAGAAAAAAACTGTCAACCAAGAATGCTATATATGGCAAAACTGTCCTTCGAAATGAAGGAAAAATCAAGACTTTCCCAGAAAAACAAAATCTGAGGGAGTCATTACCACTAGACCTGCTCTATAAGAAATGCTAAAGGAGTCCTTCAACTTGAAATGAAAGGACGCTAGACAGCAACATGAAGCCTTATGAAAATCTAAACTGGTAACAATAACTACATGGAAAAATAGTAACCTGTATTATAATTTGGGTGCATAAATTTAATTCTTCATAGAATTGAAATAACAAACACATGAAAAAAAACTATAAGCCTGTGCTAATAGGTGTACAATAAAGATGTAATTTGTGACATCAATAACATAAAGTACAGGGGGATGGAGCTGTGAAAGAATAGGGTTTTTGTATGCAATTGAAGTTAAACTGCTATCAGTTTAAAATAGAATGTTATAACTAAGATGTTTTATGTAACTGCCATGGTAACCACACACACAAAAAAATCCACAGAATATACACCAAAAGAAAAGAGAAGGGAATCAAATATGACACTATAAAAAAATCAATAAAACACAAAAGAAGGTAATGAAAGAGGAAAGGTGAAACAAAAAAAACTATCAAGTTATGCAGAAAACAATGAACAAAATGACAACAGTATTTACCTATCAATAATTACTTTAAACAGACTTAACTCTCCACTCAAAAGACACAGCTTGACTAAATGCGTGAAAAACCAAGATCCAAAAATATGCCATCTACAAGAGACTCACTTTACAGCTAAGGAAATACATAGTCTGAAAAGTGAAAGGATGGAAAGAGATGCAAATCTTTGAGATGCAAATCATACCCAAAAGAGAGCAGGGGTGGCTATCCTAATATCAGACAAAATAGATTTTAAGTCAGAAACTGTTATAAGAGACAAAGAAGTTCATTATATAATGATAAAAGGGCAAATATAGAAAGAATATATAACAATTATAAATACTTGGATTATAAATAAATGAATTAAAGCCCTAAACATAAGAACCAAAGCTATAAAACTCCTAGAAGAAAACACAGAAGAAAGGCTCCATAACATTGGATTTGGCAATGAATTCCTGGATATGACATCAAAAGCACAATCAACAAGAGCAAAAATAAACAAATGGGACTAGATCAACCTTAAAAATTTTTGTGAATAAAAGGACACCATCAGTAGAGTGAAGAAGCAAACTACAGAATGGGAGAAGATACTTGTAAATCATGTATCTGATAATAGATTCATATCCAGAGTATAAAAAGAACCCCTACAACTCAACAACAAAAAAATCAAATAACTCAATAGAAAAACAGGCAAAGGACTTGTACAAAATTCTTCAAAGAACTGGCCAAGAGGCATATGAAAATGATACTCAACATCACTATCATCAGAGAAATGCAAATCAAAACCACAATGAGATATCACCTTACACCAATTAGGATGGCTACTAGTGTAAGCCATCCTGTTTTACTATCAAAAAAACCCCCCAGAACAAACAGAAAATAACAAGTGTTGGTGAAAATGTGGAGAAATTGGAACCCTCATGCACTTTTGGTGGGATTTATATAATATGATGCAAGCACTATGGAAAATAGTATAGCATTTCCTCAGAAAATTAAAAATAGAACTAACATATGATCCAGTAGTCCCATTTCTGGGAATTTATCCAAAAGAATTGAAAGCAAAGCCTCAAAGAGATATCTGTACACCCATGTTCATAGCAGCACTATTCACAATAGCCAAGAGGTGAAGTAACCCAAATATCCATCGATAGATGAATGGATACACAAAATGTGGTATATACAAACAATGGAATATTATTTAGACAAAATAGAAGGAAATTCTGTCACATGCTACAACATGGGTGAACTTTAAGGACATAATGCTAAGTGAAATAAGCCAGTCACACAAATACTATATGATTCCACTTGCATGATAAATTTAGAGTAGTCAAATACAAAGAAATAGAAAGTAGAATGGTGGCTACCAGGAGCTAGTGAGAAGCGGGGAATAGGGAAGTCATTGTTTATAAGGTATAGTTTCAGTTTTTCAAGATGAAAAATTTCTGGAAATGTTTCACACAATGTGAACATACTTAACAATACTGAACTAAACACTTAAAAAATGGTTAAGATGGTAAATTTTATATTATGTGTTTTTCACCATAATAAAAAAATGTATATCCTCACAATAAAGTACCTTGCAGCTGTAAAAGGGAACAGAAAATGTCACTATATACTGCTATGGACTGACCTCCAGGATGTACACTTCAGTGAAAAGTACAAGGTGGAGAAGTGGGTACAGTATTCTACCTTTAAATATGGGGAGTGTGGGGCTTCCCTGGTGGCGCAGTGGTTGAGAGTCCGCCTGCCGATGCAGGGCACACGGGTTCGTGCCCCGGTCCGGGAGGATCCCACATGCCGCGGAGCGGCTGGGCCCGTGAGCCATGGCCGCTGAGCCTGCGCGTCCGGAGCCTGTGCTCCTCAACGGGAGAGGCCACAACAGTGAGAGGCCCGCGTACAGCAAAAAAAAAAAAAAGGGGGGAGTGTGCATGCAAATATATTTCTCTATTTTTTTTAAATGATGAATAAAACTAAGAAAAATTCTTAATGGTTTTCTATGGAGAAGGGAAGAAAAGGGTGGCAGGGTCAGGAATATAAGTTAGACTTCTCTGAATGAACCTTGCTTTGTAGATTTGATTCTGGACCATGTGAATGTTTCACATAATTATAAAACAAGATTTAAAAAGTTTTAAAAGCCACTCCCTAGGACTCCCCTGGTGGTGCAGTGGTTAGGAATCCTCCTGCCAATGCAGGGGACACGGGTTAGAGCCCTGGTCCGGGAAGATCCCACATGCCGTGGAGCAACTAAGCCTGGGCGCCACAACTACTGAACCTGCGCTCTAGAGCCCGCAAGCCACAAATACTGAAGCCCACGCGCCTAGAGCCCATGCTCCGAAACAAGAGAAGACACTGCAGTGAAAAGCCCGCGCACCACAACAAAGAGTAGCCCCCACTCGCTGCAACTAGAAAAAGCCTGCGCACAGTAACCAAGACCCAACGCAGCCAAAAATAAATAAATTAAATAAATTAAAAAAAAAAATGCCACTCCCTAAAAATAGAGAGCAAAATGGAATACATGTACCTTTTTAAATTAGGGGGAATCCACTTGAAAAGAGACCAAAACATATCAACCAAATGCCAAATACACACCTTGCTGGATTTTGTCTCAAACCTAAAAAAATTTTTTTTAACAATCTGGGAAATCTAATAGATATTATTAGAGAGTATGATTTAGGACATGATCCATTTCTAATTTTGTTGTGTTTTGAAAAAGAGAACAGAACCCGTGTTTTAGAAACATGTGAAAATATTACATAGATGAAATGATATATTAGGATGAAATATGTTGGGATTTGTTTCAAAATAACCTGGGAGACTGTAGGTAGAAAGAGACTAGGGGAAAGGGTAGATGAAATAAAAAGTTTTTAATTGTTCAAGTAGGTGATAATACAGGAAGACTCATTATACCACCTTCTATTTTCCACTGATACAGTAATTTTTTTTTCCCCTAATTCTGTGGTTCATTAATTTCTTAGTTGTCTCTTAGCTGATTATCATGGAATGTAAAACAATTATGATTTATTCAAAAACACACCTAAAAACGAAGTATAGAATATATTACCTTTGTAAAAGTGACAGGGATGCTGGCATCTAACTGAATGTGATCTGCAACCTCTGTAAACTGCTGCTGCTGCTTTTGCAATGTTTCCAGTAACCTTGTAATTTCTTGTTTTGCTAAGACAACTCTACAATCATCCTAGAAAAGAGAAGATGATATTTCTTATAAAATTTTTAAAGAAACGAAAAAAGAGATATCACTAAAACTCAAGAAAAGCTCATTTAACATTACAGTATTGAAAGTTAACTTATGTACAAATTTGACTAAGTTAACAATAATCAGGCATTAATAAATAATTTAAGAGCCCATCAATAGAAGAATAGATAAATAAAGTATGGTATATTCACAAATGCAACACAACCAAAATGAATGGTTGAATGAACTACAGGTTCATTCAGGTAAGAATGATCTACAATTACATGTGATGATATGAATTTCACAAACATACAGTAAGGGAAGAAATGACATGAAGAGTTTGTACTGCATGATTCCCACTTTTATTAATTACCAAAACAGGCCAAAACAAGGTATACATTAGAAATCAGGATAGTGGTTTATCCTTAGGAGGAAAGGCACATAGTTACTAGAAGAGAGTCTGAGGGGCTTCTGGGGTTGGTAATGTTCTGTTACTTGATCTGGATGCTCGTTACACAGTAATGTCCAGTCTGAAAATTCAGCAAGCTGAACACTTATGCACATATTTCTGTATACATATATTGTACTCCTATAAAAAGTTTTTAAAATAATTTAAGATATACATGTATTAGTTTAAAAAAAAAGACTAAAGGTCAAACTGTGATGTCTCCATCTCACTTTAGATTCCCAGGCCCTCTCCGCAAAGTTAAGCACTTTTCAGTTTCTCAAATATTATTCCAGAGATATTCTATACATGTACCAATGTATTCTTCATAAGACAGAGATCTCCCAACAATATTTAAGCTCCATGAGAGAAGCGGTGTTGTCAGTTTTTGCTCACAGTTGCATATTCAAATTAGGTGATAGCAATTTAGTTGTTCCAATTGCCAGAACAAAAACTTTGAGTCATTCTTGCCTTCTCCTCCCTTATTCCCACATACAATTTGTCAACAAATCCTACTAGATATCCAAAATTTGGGTACTTCTAGCCCTCATGATCCAAGCTACTATCCTCTCTCACTTGGAATCCTACCACAGTCTTCTAACCATTGAGCTCCTTCCTTCCATCTTTGCCCTCCTTCAATCTGTTTTTTACACATCAGCCAGATCCTTTTAAGTAAGATCAAATCATTCTTGTGCTCAAAACCCCACAATGGTTTCCCCAATTCAATCAGTAAAAACTGAAGTCCTTGCAATGGCCCACAAGGCCCTCCTTACATATAATTCCCTATCATCTCTAATTTCAGCTGCTATTACTCTCTCCATCGCTTACTCTATTCCAGCAACAGTGCCGTCTTTTGCTGTTCCTCAAATACACCAGGTATGTCACCCTAGGGTTTTTGCTCTAACCAGTTCCTCAGCTGAAATCTTCTTCATTAAGGTGTGAGCTAGTTCCCTTCACCTTCTTCCCCTTTGAGTCTCTGCTCAAATCTTACCTTCTCTCAGTGATGCTTACCCTATTTAAAAATACAATCTGCTGTACCCTCATACTTTTTCTTTTTCCCTTAGCTCTTATCACTTTTTAACATACCATATAATTTACTTATTAGATATGGTTATGGCTTATTGTCTGCCTTCTCCTTGCTAGGATGCTAATTCCACAAGATTATGGCTTTTTGCTTGCTTTGTTTACTGACATATTCCACGTACCTAGAATATACATGGCACATAGTAGGCACACAACAAATATTTGCCTAATAAACAAATCCTAACCATTCAGTATTATGCCTTGAACTTTGATGATGCATCAATTTTTTCTGGAGGGGAGGGATGATTTTGTTCTCAAAATTGGTAATACATATGTGATGTTCCATCCATTCCTCTGTTCAGTTATCTCTGTGGCAGGAACTTTTAAGAATATTGATTGAGATTAGGGTTCTCTGTCTATAAATCAGAACAAAACTAATAGGTCCATATGAAGAATGAATCTAAGACCCCAATTTCATCTGCGTTAACACAGTGAGATAATACCATGTCATTAACAATTATCAGTCACTTTGACAAAATGCTTCAGAAACTCTAAAATACTTCTAAATACTTCTAAATACTTCAGTTAACTATGAGCTTTCTTTTTAATAAAATAAATATAAAAATACTTAGAAGTATTCACTTAAGTATGATTTAGGACATGATCCATTTCTAATTTTGCTGTGTAGCTTGAGCTGAACAAGTATTTATTAGGCTCTTTGTATCTCTAAATTCTTTGTATCTGGATAGATACATCCAGAAGGACAAATGTGCATATTGTATCATTAGGTTCAAATCAGGAGATAAAAACCACAATAGTCATATGAATAGAAAAAAATTAATACGAAGAACTGTTAACTAGGTGTAGTTATTAAGTAGGCAACTGAAAGGGTAAAAAGAACTCTGAGGTATCATGGAGCAAACAACTGTAGGAAACAGCTACCACCCTCAGGGCTGGGAGAATAAAGAAGAGATGCTAGAATTATTAAAACTTAAAAACTTATAGGAGGGATGCCATGGAGCTGAAATTCAGATCTCTAAGGAAAGTGGTCTCGTAGTATGAGCAGTGTCATTCACAGGAACCCCAAGCAAATGGGAACGCACAGGAAACCACCTCCATCTTTCAGCTTCCTTCTAATGTCCCCTATTGGCAGAGCCTAAAATCGCATGGAGGCAGCTGGCAGAGCTGGTATGTGGTTTGCAGAGTTTCAGTATCAGCATCACAAAGCAGAGGATAGAACAGGACTGGAGCTCAAAGACAACTTAATAAATGGCATAAACATCAATTATTACAATTCAATGTGATAAGGACTAAAGGACTCAAGACTGATGTGGTTACAGCCTGGCCACATTCATTTAAGTCTAATCAGATATTTAAGAGAAAAAGCTCTACAACAGTAAAAAGTTTAGCTCTATGATGATTTGATATCAACACAATCATTAGCAATATATCAAAAGATGAGAGTGACTGAAGCTTATCAGGAATTCCTAGGGCAATAATTAGCCTTAAATTGCACATTCATGAAGGCAGATCCAAAACAGTAATGAGTAAGACTGGCATTTTTGTTAGAATAACCTTAAATCTATTTTAAAAGCACATTATCTGCAAACTGGGTAACAAATTGCTTATGATACGTCAACCATGAAAAAACACGGGTTTTCTGTGACATCAAAGTTAAGAATAAATTACAGCAGAGATAGGGGGTACATGCTAGAGAGGCACCCCACCTCCACCACCAAAAACAAAAACAAAAAAGAGCAAGGAAGGGTAAGGAGCTTCAAAGAACAGCAAACATTTGAAGAAGGATTTCCAATATCAGAAAAGGGAGACATAAGCCCATCAAGCAGAAAGAATAGTATATGCTTGGCAAAGAAGGGTTAAAGGGCTTGGGATGACTGAAGAATGACAGGAAGTTAGAGGTTCTAGAACCTATGGTTTTATGGGGGGGAAGACACATGAAAGAGAGGACACTGATGTGGTTGAGTGGAGCAATTTGAGGTTAGAGACCATGTCCTAAGCACAATGTTAATGCCCACAGTAACACAGAGTAATAATATAAAAATATTTATTAAATTAATAAAATAGACTAGTGTGTACCTCTGGTAATGATATACTTAAGCTTACAAATCCTCCTTCTTAAACTATGTCCTAATCATGTTTAAACCACATACCTGTTGCAAAGTCTTTTCACAATGGAGACAGGCTGTTGAAACCTGGGATAACAAAACAGTCATATCTTCTTGCTGCTGTCTGAGCCAAATCAGTTTTTCTCGAACATGAGCATCAACAACACTTAGAGCCATTTCTTCTTGACGACACAGAGTTTCATGTAGATCAGAAAAATAAGCTCGGACACATGACCGGGCATTCTCCGCAGTACCTGGTACCTAAGGCAATAAAAATAAGTTTTAAACAACTGTAACCTTAATGAAGATTTTATATGTGAAATAATGAAAATTTAAATACAATCTGTACCCTTAAAATCCCAAAATGTTTATCTCCACACTAAATTTTTCCCCTTAACCACAGCTTTTGGATATCCAACTGTTTAAATGACATTTCAAGCAACAAGGAATACCTAATCTCCAGTCTCTCCCAACCCTGAACCTAGTTTCCTCCATCTCAATAAATGGCAACTCCATCTTCCAGGTTATTCAAGTTAAAAAAACTGGAGTCACCCTTAACACTTCTCTTTCGTATCTCACAACTAGTTTCTCAACAAATTCTGCTGACTTCAAAATATATCTAGAATCTGATCATTCCTCACCACCTTCACCTCTGCCAACCTGATTGAAGCCATTATCATCTCTCACCTGATTATTATAATAGCCTCCTAATTGGGTTCACTAGATTTACCTCTGCTGCCTATAATGTATTCTCCACCCAGAAGCCAGACTGATCCTTTCTAAATGTTAAGTCAGAATGATAATTATTCTTTTGCTCAAAACTCTCCAGTGGTTTCCCACTCAGAGTAAATGCCAAAGTCCTTTATAGGGGATGTTCAACAACAGACTCCCTGGGAAAGAGACATCTGAGCTAAGACCTGAAAGAGGTAAGAGAGGGAACCATGTGAATATCTTCAAGGGCATTCCTCGAAGAAAGTAAAGCAAGTGCC